TTGCATCCCAGGTATTCAGTTATAACTGCAGCTGTGCTGTACATTAGTTGGTTTGTTTCTTGCAGTGAATTGGTGCTTATACTTGCTATTGCAGTATTTGCATCTTTTAATGCTTGTGCTAGCTGTTTCTTTGGAACAAGCTTCAATGCAGGCAGCCTTATTCTGTTGTTTTTGTGCTGTTCTAGATGCTCAATTATTCTTTGTTTCAATTCTTTTATTTCTTTAGTTAGAGGGTTTTGTTCTTCCTGAGGAAGAGGTGCCTGGTTTCCAAATGAGAACAGTTGTATATCTCTACTGGATTCTTTCACTGCCAACTCCCCCTGGTTTGCCTCTACATTCTGAATTACTTCTTGTAAGGCTTTGATTTCTTTGCCCTGGGTAAACCTTTGCAGTTCGTCTAATTCTGTTTCTGTAAATACTTTATTTCGTGTTATAAATCGGCGTTGATCTGCTAGTCTCTGTTCTGTTATTTCTGATTCTGGATGTTGTTCTTTCCAGAACTGGTGCATTCGTTTTAGATATCCTCTTCTTGTTGGACTTGATCTGTAGTAACAGATCATTATTTCTTTGTTTTCCATCACTGTGTATCTGCGACGGGTAAACACCTTTTCTTCCAGTAGTTCTGCAGCTGCTGGCCCTGGTTGCTCAGCCAACAGTCCTGAGTCCTGTAACCCATTTTTCACCAGATATCCAGGAACTCCAATATCTAGTGCGGACCTTGTTAACCCGGGCGACGTCCGAGCCGGTATGGCATTCTGAAATTTACGTCTCACCATATTTTTTATGGGAGAGACACTCTTTGTCTGACTCCTCTGATGAGACCTGTCCAGTATGGTTGAACCTCTGGCATAGCTCTCATCTTCCTCAGAGTACACAAGCCCCACAACCACGTCAAGGTAGTGCCTCACTGGGGGTATTATTATTATTATTATTATTATTATTATTATTATTATTATGGATCATCGCACAGTCAGCCAGATGTTCAGACTGGATTTGGCATTTTGTCTACCTATCGAGTCCTTACCCAGGACCTGGGATAGGCAGATGTGGATGTTTGATGGTATTACAGATATCGTCGCAGGATGGAAGCAGTTCCTAGTAAGGCCGCCTTTTGCAATTGATTAATAGCGAATTTGTCAATGCCAATGGTGTTCAAGTGGTGCTCCAAGCAGCCTATTACTACTACTACTACTACTACTACTACTACTACTACTATTATTATTATTATTATTATTATTATTATTATTATTATTATTATTATTACAGTGCTAAATTGTACTGAGGCCAGTGAAATGCAGTTTTGAATAGGTATGCATAGATTTGAGCTGACTGTCTTTTTCATTCCCATAGTAAGAAAACAAGATCAGCTGCATAATTTTTAAAGTCCTTCAGAAATAACCTTGCCAATAGTATTGAAAATGTGCCTGTTTTTCTTGTATCTTTTTTAAGTTATAAAAATTGAAAATATTCTCATAGAGCAGTTAGAGAAAAAATTTCTTTTCTCAGAAATGATTGGGAAATGCACAGCACTTTGAGCTTTTAGAAGCTTTGCATAACAGAAAAAGCCTACTGAGAACATTCAAACTCTGTAGAAGTTGTAAAAAATATTTGGAAGTAGTAGGCATTTCACTCACTGCATGGTATTCTCCTTTTAGCTGCTTCAAATGATTTGGTGGAGACTTCTTCTTTATTACTTCTTTTTTTTTGAAAATATTTTATTGGTTTTTTAACTTTTAAGAAAAAGTACTCAGGACACACCGTGGTGTTTGGGTAATTAGGCATTCCAAAGTAAAAACATAAATAAACAACTCAACTCAATACATTCACTGTCTCCTATTTCCCTCAAATAACATAATACATTTAAAATATTCCATTTCTAAATTAAATTTCTATTACTACTAAACCTGTTTTAAAACTTTATCAGTTTACAATTACCAAAATCAAATTTAACTTTAAATCAACAAGTTATCAATTCAGGTATCCCTTCCAGATATATTCTAGTTCTTAATTTCTCTCATCCCTCCTTTTATCACCAATCTCATTTATTTCTTCTTCCATTACACAATAGCTATCTTAATTAAAAAATAATGTTAAACCTTAATTCACTTCAATTCATTACAGAAACTTCAAATTTCATCCAATTGATTGTCATACCTTATCACATCTATGTTATTGTACAAAAAAATCATCTAAGTTAAAACACTCCATTAATTATTAAAACCATCCCAATCTAAAAAAATCAACATTTTTTCAATTCCAATACATAATTTTCATCAAAATAAATCTGTTATTCCAAAAAGTATTCTTAATCTATTTAAAATATCTTTTCTAAAAATCACCCCCACACACATATATATATATATATGTTTATATTTTTTCTTGCTTCTAACTCTAAATCATAATCCTTAAAACAAACCATAAATCAAAAATTGCCTTTAAATCCATTACACAATTTTAAATTTCTCTTTTCAGTCTAATTCTGGCTTTTTTCCTGTGCCAAGCAGGTTTCCATAGGGACGCTTCCCTTTCAGCCAGTAGATCTGTCTTTGTTGCTTGCAGTAGCCTTTGAAATAATAGCAATCCCATCCTCTGCATTAGACGTCTATTTCTCTCCTCCTTGAAGGGTCGTTGCTTTGTAGTTTGAAGTCTCAGTCTTTGCTTCTTCAGTTCTTCTAAGTTGCAGATGGAAGGTTTGTAAGCTAGAATAAGTTCCTCTTTTATCTCTGTTAATTCCTCTTCTAGTATGTTTTGATTTATACCATAGTCAGATGTAGCCTGGACATCCATTTGAACATTTGAAGTGAAATTTCTGGATCTTAGTTCTGTAGTAAACTTTTTCATTGTAGCACATATTTCTGCAGTAGCCTCATAGATCTTTTCCAATATAAGTGTACAGTTTAATTGTGATGAGGTTTCTTCATTTTGATAGTAATTAAATAGAGTCTCTCTTTTTTTTGTGGAGGCTATATTTGATATAAATTAGGCAATACCCACCCCCACAGTTCCCACACAGCTGCCCAGCTTATCTTTTCTCTTCAAAAGTGTTTTGAAGATCAGATCTGTTCCATCTTCACACCAAGTAACCAGACATTGCAGTTTCAAATTTTCACCACTAGATGTCCTCAGTAAATTAAAAAAGGTCTTTTCCAGAAACCATTTCCTTTGTTTTCTATCTTTTAAAGTATAATGTGACAAGGAAATAATCTTCCAGTATAGGATAATAATACAGTTCTTAGAAAGAGAGGAAAAAAGACATTTTTTTCCGGTACCCCCAAAAATATAAAAGTAAAATATAGTCTTTAAATTTTGTTCTGTTTTTATAGAACACCTTTCTTCCCAAAGAATGTAGAAGCTGCCTTTTCAAGCCAGGGAAATAATTCCAACAAGGCTCTTTCAAGTACCAAAAACAAAATAGAATAGAGAGAATAGCAAAGCAAAGTCTCACCCGAATTCACCACAGGGGTTTTTACAGCTTAGATGTTCTTTGACTTGCAGTTTGAAGCAGCAGGGTGATCGGCCATTTTACTGGTCGATCTTCTTCTCTGTTGGCCCTCAGAGATAGCTCAGACCGCTAAAGGAGCTGCCGCTCCTCAGCAGCCGAGCAGAGCCTCCTCAACAGAAGTCGCACCCTCCAGGCGACTTTGGACCCGCATAAGGGTCTGCCGGCGGAGGGAAAGCTAGCCGAGGAGATGAGTCTCCCCGTGTGACTAGAGATGCTGCGAACCGGAACCAGAAGTTTTCTTTATTACTTCTTGTCATTTATATATATTGGCTTTTCAAATTTTGGCATTTTAAGTTTCCCTGATTTCTCCTTTCCCATTGCTTAGACCAGTGTTTCTCAACCTTGACAATTTTAAGGCATGTGGACTTCAACTCCCAGAATTCCACAGCCAGCTTTGAAGTCCACATGCCTTAAAATTGTCAAGGTTGAGAAATACTGGCTTAGACCAGAGGCCCCCAACCTTTTGGGCACCAGGGACTGGTTCCATGGAGAGAGGTTTTTCCGTGGACCAGAGGGGGCATGGATTTTGCATGCTGCCTGCATCCCACAGATGGGGCTTGCTTGCATGGCCTGGTTTCTGGCATGCCGTGGATTGGTGCCAGTGCAAAGACTGGGGGTTAGGGACCCCTATCTTAGACCATTAAACTCTACTGTTTAATACTGATTTTGCCAAAGACATATCCAGTTGAGCAGCCTGCTCTGTTCACCCAACAGTTGACAATGAAATACTTGGTTGCCTCTAAGAGATCTTAGATATGTTTAAGGTGAGCTTTAATCATGCATTAGTTTGTTTGAGTTGCTTTTAAGTTAGGGCCTCTTAACCACCACATGTGGTAACAAATTCCATAGTTTAATTATGCAAGATGTTATGTCCTTTTGCCTGTCTTAAGTTTCCCAATATTCAGCTTTATTGTAGACCTTCAGGCTCTAATATATGAAAGAATAAGGAAAAAAAACCCTTATCTGTTTTCTCCATGCAGTTCATAATTTTATAAGTATGTACTTCCGCTGACTAATCTTTTTTCCCTAAACTTAAAAAGGTTTAATTGTTGTAAACTTATCTTGGAGGAGAGTTGATCCAACTCCCTATCAGTTCTTTACTTTTTCCAATTCTACAGTATATTTTTTGAGATACAGCAATTGTTCCACAGAGTATTTCTAGTATGTCCGCAGGCTTCTCTCTAGAAATGGTTCACTGAAAAAGTATAATACTGATAGTTTATTTTTTATCTTTCTATATCATCTTTTTTTGTATTCTTCACAGTTCACTACACCAGGTTGACATTATCATTAAATTTACCTATCATGGCCCCAAGGTCTGTAACTCACACACTGTCATTGGATAGATATAATTATTTTTTCCATGAGCACCATTTTGTGTTTATATTAAAACATTTTCATGCTATTGCTATTTATCCAGCTTGGAGAAAGCCCTTCTGGAGTACTTTGCAATCTGTTTATTTTTATTACTTTGCATAATTTGGTCTGAACAGCGAACATGGCCATCTCGGTACTCACAAATAACTTTAGATTAAGGGTGGCCAAGCCGTGTTTCTAACCATGTTGCTGAATTACAGTTTTCCACATGTTTCACCATTAGATACTGTGAAAATTGTAGCTGAGCAACACCTGGAGGGGAAGAGGCTCCTGCTTCACTTGTTAAAAACACACTAACTTCATACAAATTCTTGTCTCTACTTCCTTCTCGTTGATTTCATATCATTTATTTATCTATAGATATTTATTAAGAAATAAATCCCGGTGTACAATGTTGCCTAGATCTGCATTCAAATTTTATTTGTAGACAACACGATAACTAGCAATAGTGACATAATCATTGAAATTGTTACTGACAACACAAGCATTTTCTCTAGGCTTATATCCACACGCTTGACTGATTCATAAAATCTATCTGTTCTGCAATGGTAACCAGACTTATTTTCAAATAGTAATTATCATCATTTCAAGCTAGCTCCCATAATCCCTGGCCAGAAAGATACATGTACAGAAAAATATAATAGGTAAATATGTCATCCATAAAAGACAGCATCTTATTTTGTTGTGTTTCAAGAAGCATGTACAGAATTGCTTCTGAAGACTGAAAGCATCGGGGTCTAATGGGGCAAATACACAACATAGTGTACAATAGTGTAATTTTTTTCTGGATAAAATCAGCAGTAGCCAATGGGAAGAGATTTGGCATTTCATAATAGGAAAATGCTGGTGTCAGGATGCCCTCTGCATCCAAGATTTTGTCCTTGAAGGTTGTTCCTTTTTCTTTTGCTTCCCAAATTGCTGCTGCTCAGTTGGAGCTGCTGTGCCTTCAAAACACATTACTTTGTTATGCTGTTACCCAAAGAAAAATAAGAGAAGGGAAGAGAGACCGTAAGAATCCATTATACCATGTTCTCTGATATTAAATGGATTTGTATAGTATTTTTCCATCCTCTGGCATGTACAGCTTACTGTTTGACAAGGGTAAAGTCTAAGATTGGTATTCAGGGACACCAATTCACCTCCAGCTGCCCTTATATTATCACGAAGGAACAGCCTTTCCACACAGCAGGTCAAAGGCATTTTTTAGAAAGACGTGGAAGGAACAGCCTTTTCACACAGCAGGTCAAAGGCAATTTTTAGAAAAGCATGGAAGAGGCCCACTGCCAGAAACAACATTGGATAAATATTCAGTGTTGGGTATTTGCATCCTTCCATAGGATATTTAGGCTACAGTGTTCAAAAATTTATTTCTGATACTGCTTCACAAAACTTGCCTTTATTTTGAAACAATAATATTATCCGTGCATTGCACAAAGTCTGTGGAAAGATATATACAGTAAGTATAGTAAGGCTTACTGTAAGGCTTGTCTGCTTTATCTGTACTTACCTACCATAGTCAGACTGGTATTTGCCCATTGAATGGCATCATGTGTCTTTGATGTGTGTTGATAGTCTATAGCAATGTTTCTCAGATGATGCTCTCCAGATTTTTTTTTTCATATACATCCATTTTTGTCTGGCATAGATAGCAGGTTACATGCAGGGTTGAGGTTGTTGTCAGTCTTGCTGCTTACTGCAGCCAGATTTGTAGATCATTCTGTGCCATGGTTTCTTTTCTCTATGGTATGCTGAGTGAGTCACAAATTCTCTTGAATCTTCTATATCATCATTTGCCAATTTAACTGCTCTCTGTGTCTGTTGAACCACAAATTCCATAATTTGGTTCATGGCTACACTGATTTGGAATTAAAAGGTTTCTTGGGGTAAATGGATAGATAATAGCTGGATAATACTAATTGGAAATAACAGGGAGTACAGTTCAACTTGTAGAATGCACCAGGTTGGAGAGGGTTGTTTTTATAAACTTGTGTGCATATTTTTGTATATGCAAAGACATAAGTGAAGAGAAACTAATTCTAAGAGTTCATGATAAGGATGTAGGTGGAGACTGTTACCTTGCTGAACTAATTGGTTTCTCTGATGCAAATTACAGTTCTATTGCCATTTCAAGTGCTATATGATATGATAGCAGTGGTCTGTAGATATTATAAAAATTGAGACAGCTTGCTGGTTTCCATTTATTTACTCTAAATATTTTCCCTCTTTTTTCTTACAGACTTTTAATCATATTAGTCTGTTTCGGTGTCTGTTTTGAGCTTCACTGGCTCTTCCACCACCTTCAGCTATGTACCATCTGCTGCTAGTCTCAATATCCACTGAATTATATGCACAGTGGGAGAGATGAGGGCAGTGTGCTAGGTTTCAACCACTGGATTGGGCATATGTGGGATTTCACAAAATACTTTTCTGATTAAGGCTTGGGGGTATGCCATAAATATCCTGAGAAAATGAGAATCTCAATTTCAAAGGCTTCTGACCACATGGCATGCTCAACTTATAAAAATGGAAGGATGTTCTGAAAAGCAAAAATCAAAGAAATTAAATAACTGGCCAGGCACTCAAATACAATTTTGTGTTTCTATATCTATTTTTTTTTTTTACATCCTCTGCACTTTTGACATTAACTATCAGTCTGGATGCTGTAAATCCATCTTTACTGCCTTCTTTTTTATAATACTACAGTTACACATTTTATTTGTTTGTTTATTTCTTCAAATCTATGGCCACCCATCTCAGTCAATGACTGGGGAGTTTATAATTCAGAAAAGATATTATGATTAATTTTTTTTTAAAAATAAAACAATAAAAGCAGTAAAACCAGTAAGGAAAACATTAAAAACATCCAGTTCAACATACACAAGAACAAGTTATGAATATCTTACTACTATGCATGTATGTACACTATATATGTAGATATTGAGCTATAGGTAAATATAAGTATGTAGAGTCAGTGTAGTATAGTGGTTAAGGTATTGGACTAGGAGAGGAGGGGAGAGGAGGGGAGAAAAAGAAACTAGGTTTTGCTCATGTGATTTCTTCCATTAAGCACAGAAGCTGACTTGGTGGGCCAATCACTCTGTCTCAGAGAGTGGAAGACTTAGACCAGGGGTAGGCAACCTTGGCTCTTTTATGACTCGTGGACTTCAACTCCCAGAATTCATGAGCCAGGCTGGCTCAGGAATTCTGGGAGTTGAAGTCCACGAGTCATAAAAGAGCCAAGGTTGCCTACCCCAACCTAGACTGAGAGGTTGGAAAGCTTCTGTCACTCATACCTGCACTGATAGATTAATTTGCCACTAAAGGTAATTTCAGAGGCGAGTCCTTCATCCTGCAATGAATTAATTTTGCCTAATGACTAGAATTTGATATATTAAAATCTGTGAGCTGTAGGTTGCTTTTTTCACAAGACACTGCAATAAGAGAAAGGTCCCTGCAAGGAATGCTAAGATATTGAACATATGAGAAGAAAATAGATGAGTGAAAAAAGCTGTCCATAGGCAGTTGTTTGGTTTAAGAATTTTATTATAGATTGGTCATGGTATTTCGTACTCTGAACATTGACGATATTCTATTCTTAATGGTTTCTTTTTCTTTTCCAGAAGTACTTTGTAGGTTTGAATTTGTCAACGCTCCAATTTCTTTCTTTGTTCATCTCTTTCAACAGATCTATGATGAGAAGAAGAATTTATTTGAAGTAAGAGACAACATCCCTGAAAAAATTGTGGAGAAAGTGGCAGGGGACATTGAGAGTCTCCTGGCCAAGAAAGTCCAAGCTTTAAAGGTAAAATGGCTCCTCAGTTTCAGTGAATTTAAATGAAAAAGGCAGGAGGCGGGAATGGAATTGATACCTATTATGATGCTCTGATATCCCCAGGGATTGACTGATACTTTATTACAAGGTTTCACAGAACGTTTCTAAGAAATGGATAATGTTAAACAAAGTGCTTGCATAGCTCTTCCAAATATTTTCTCCTTTGCATCTTTGACGTATATAAGTCTACGATTAAAGATTGTGTGAAATGTGTCCCTTAGTCCTTTCCTTTGTAAGCAGTCTAAAGACTCTCTCAGGCTCTAGTCTATTTTGGTCTCTTGAGATGAGTGGCCTTTTCTGCTCCTTTGGAAGGATATTTTGCAAAATGTGAGTGAATGAAACAGAGCATAATAGCAATTGTCTGCAGTTAAATCTGGGCTTTCAAGTAGGTTTTCAACCCAACTTTTCATTTTATATAATTTCCTTCCTTGTTGTACAGTGCAGAGCAGATCAGCATGTTTAAGGTCTAATATTAAATGGACCTGACTTTTCCTGTGACAACGCTCAATATGTACATTTTCTGTTTTAGCTTTTCTGCTTAGAGAAAAGGATTCTCAGTAAATCGCTTTTATATGTGCATATTTTTGCATAGTTTAATTGCCTCAACATTATCAGATATTATTAAATTGTTTGTTATTATGACCTGTTTATGTTTTCCCAGAAACCTTGTGACCATAGTAGTTGATAATGCCAAAAAAAAATAGAATAGCAATAATAATATATCGCAAAGCAATGATATATATCAATTTTGGAGAACCCTCATTTATTTCAGAGGCATATCAGCTTTTCAGTCCATAAAACTGAAATTCTAAAGGGGTAGCAAAACAGCACATGGTAGTGATAGTTTCACAATGTAGATTAAAATCAGTCAGATCCTTCAGAAAGATAAGCAAAAACAATACAATAAAGTGCATGAAGATTAAAGTACAATTATGCAAAAATGCAGTCAGCTTCAGTTATCTTGGCAATTGGCATTTTCAAAGCTCAGCAGTAGTTCAGGTCGCATCATTCCCTCCTCTCTTTTAACTAGGTCAGTCTTTCCACATGCTACCTTCTTTCCCAAGTCATTAAAAAATACAATCAGTGGGACTCAGTTTCTCAGTGTGCATACATGGGGCCAGTCTTAGCTATTATTGGTACCTTTACACATCATCTATGTTCATGGCCAGTTGCTACGATCTCATCCTACCCCATCCCAGTGCTAGGAGTAAAGTGTGATGTTCCAAATCTTGCAACCTCCACACCAGGCACCCAGAATGAATGTGCACCAAGACTCTCTTGAATAGAGTTTAATTCTATTGGCTTTCAAAAGCCAATAGGAATTGTCAGGCTGTCTCTGCCCTGCTGAGCCCGCCAAAAGTCCCATTCTGCAAACGGTGCTGCACCAGTTGAGTAGTCCTCGACTTACAACCGGTTGAGTAGTCCTCGACTTACGACCGGTTGGGGTCGCGGTATTAAAAAGGTTGAGAACCACTGTCTTAGATAAAATTCCAGCTTTTGCTCAATATCATTCCACGTTAAAAGCCCCAGCATACAAAACAGTCTGCTTACTTTAATTTTGTCTTTTTTTATTTCCCACTGTACCAGCGACCAATTACATTTGTTTTTAATATCAGTGAATCTGTGGATTGACTGTTTTGACTTAATGATGACTGGGTGGAAGCAGAAAGTTAGAGCATTGTGTCTTTTGGCTGCCACCTAGTGGTCATCCAGATTTTTGCTGAAATGCAGATACTGAAAAACTGGAATTTGAGAAAGAGGGTCAACTGCGAGATTAGTGTGGGATTTGTAAACCTTCCCAAGTACATAATATGAAGAGAGAAGGCAAGGGACTTGTGTTTCCTTAGGAGCAGCAACTGCTGGGAAGGGAATTCCTAATTACACAGGCAACAGCAGAGCAAGTGCCAAACTCTTTCAATTACATTTCAATTACATGTGTTAAGTCATGCATAGGATGGACATTGTCAAGGTTTTATACCCTCTAGATCCAAAAGCTGATCCATACATTTATAAAAGAAAGGAAAGGGAGCTGCAAAGTTCCAGATTCCCTGAGGCTGAAGGAAGACTATAGGTGAATAAAGAAACCAGGGACCAGAGTGAAGAGGCTGGATTCATAAGAAACCACTTGGAGTGAGAGGATTACTGATATGGCATATGTTGTTTCAGGCTGCCTCCCTGATACATATTAATATGTTCTACAATGGCTGCACATAGTCTCTTCTGGCAGTATATTGGGGAAAACATTACCTCAGAGCATGCTGCAGTACCTTAAAGTGTCCCTGGACCAACTCAGCTACAGATAGACTTGGGGAACATTAGTAGGCCATCCTCAGGCCAAGAAAAGAATCAGTGGATTTGTCTCATAAATTCTACTTACATTTTTCTTTGTAGCCACACATTAATTTTCTAAGCACATTTCAAAGAAAGGCAGTTTCTGCTCCATGTTGAAAGTAGTGTTTTTCAGTGTTCAGAGTTGCTTTCTGGTTCTGCCTGCTGAGCTTTCTTCAAATGCTATGCTCTGATCTGGCAGTGTGAAGAAACAGGAACACCTTCTTATCTGGGTCAGTGGTCATCACTCGGTAGCAGCCTAATCTTGGCTGCAGCTATTATTACCATGGTGTTTTATCAGCATAGTGGTCATAGTACCTGCTTATATATTGATGGCTCAAAACCCAGCAGAACTACCTATTTATTTGTTGGTGTTTTTATTTTTATTTTAATAAGTCCACTGATACGCCATTTCAGCTGTTTTTCCAGTTACTTGGGAAAGAAAGATTTCATTCCAGTTCTCAAATAAGCCAGATGAATAAGTAGTACAGTTACAATTTACTACCACAAGTACCGGGTGGGTGGGTGGGGGGAATGAAAAGGTGCAGCGTTTTTCCTCTTCTGCTTTAAAGAATGTGTTGTAATAAAGCAAGTATCTCAGAGAGAGAAAAATAAATTTAAAAAGTTTTGCTGGGTTTCAAGGATGTAATGTTCTGCACATTAAACAAATGCTATAATCGCTCTCCTGCTGAGAGGTTCTTTTGTCTGTGGGAGTATAATTCAACTTTGTATACATGTATTTTGTTGCGTGAATGTAGATGTAAAAGTATATATATCCAGTAAGACTTGCCTGCAGTTGGTTTTCTTATAAGGAAAGTTGCAAAGGTATAGTAACTGGGGAGTTGCCCAGCTGGGGGCATGCTAGTTGGCAATTCTAGTTTGAACATCTGGCAAATTGCTGCCAAAGCCCCCAAACCAGACAGAATTTTCTTAAAACAGTTTAGAAGTCAGCTGCCAACAGGGAAGACGACTGCTTTAAGGATGCTGTACTGTTACATTGCAAGTCTATAGTTCTTTCTATTAACACTTGATTCTGCTATATTAGAAGTCCTTCTATTTCACTACATAGCAGACTGCCCACTATAATTCACATCGGCTTTTGTTTTGGTTTCTTTTGCAATTTCATGTATCTCCCGAAGGAAGATATATTACAGTAGGGTATATAGGCAGACCTCAAATTTATTTTTTCTTTTTTGTACTGTAATTGAGTCATCCAGGGACTTTTCCTTTTTTTTTTTCACAATAAAAGAAAAGTTGTGAGTTGTGATTTCTTTTTCATGCACATAGGAATTGGGATGATGAGGATGAGTTAATGGAAATAAATGAGATGGGCATAATACTCATGATGCCAGTGCATTTCGCTGCATTTATTCTAGACAGCCTTACCTTTCCTCTCTGTGATAGTCCTGTAATAATCAGAGGATTATTTTACTGAAGAAAGTTTTATATTGAGTCAGAAGTGACTAAAATAGGAAATACATTCATGTTGATTTAAGATTTTATTATCAAACTTGGATGTTTCCCATCTGCCAAAGATGATTCTAGGCAGCTTACAGATATTAAATAAAAGGCAGATTAACACATTAAAGCAATAAATAAAAGTCATAAATTCCATGACTGACGGGCCCGCAGTATGCCCTTTCAGCTGGCATGGGTGGGCTATTCCATCAGATTGAGCCCGTTTCTCAGATAGACTGAACCCATGCCATGAAACGCTTTCAAGATGATAACCAACATCTTGAATTGGACCTGAAAGCAAACTGGCAGCCAGTGCAACTCTTGGAATATCAGTATAACATGGCCTATCCTAAGGGCCCCAAGAACTGCCTACGGAGTTTCATTCTGCACCAACTTCTGGATCCCCTTCAAGGGTAGCCCTATATAGAGTACATTGTCCAAGTATGAGATGACCAGGACTTGAGTGATGCAGGGACTCCCAGTCTAGAAAGGGTGCAACTGGCACGCAACATGAAGTTGTGCAAAGGCTCTCCTAGCATTGACTGCAACCTCATCGAGTAGCAGACACAAGTCCAGGAGAATACCAGATTATGCACAGGGTCTGTCTGGGCTAGTACAGCCCCATCCAAAACTAAAGAAATCCTAGAACTTTCATTTATTCATACCTTGTTTTGCAGAGCAAAATATCAACAAAAGTAAATTAAATATGTGTGAGCTGCATGATGAAAATGTTAATATTTATTATCTCTTAGCTCTCCTGAAAAAAACAAAACAAATATTGATTGAGCAATGTTGATAGGACTTAAGTGCTTTGGCTGAACTTGTAAGAATCTGCAGTGATTCTATAATCCTTGCATATTCACTCAGAATGAAGACCTAGTTTATTCAGCGTAAGGTAACTTCTGACTAAAGTATAGGATTCCATGGATTGGAAATAAATTGCACAAGAAGAAATAGGGCGGAGAGTGGATATTCTGAGATAAAGTATGTATTGATGTCAATATAACCTGTCTCTAACAGCTTTTAATATTTCTGTATGTTATTCTGGGTCACAGACTATTTTCTGTGTCATATAAATGCTGCATGTTCGACATTCTATTGAAATTACAGTCTATGGAAACCTGAACTAAGATAATTAAGTTAATGTTTGTGTTTTGCAATTCCTTTTGTACAATAATGTAACA